CATTGAGGTGGTCCGTTGGAACTGCTTTGGCAGGGGCAGGGGGACATGATAAGGTGGTGTCGCTGATGCCTTGCTTCCCTTTGGTTCTAGGGGCGATGTGCAAAGTATGTTTTGGTGAGGTTCTACTACCATACTAGAGTAGATAGAATATGACCAAACCGAAAATTGGATCGTTTTACACCAGTGCCCTATTGTATTCTTTTGATTTGCCCAGGGTGACAATAACATGTTTCTTTATGACATCTCCTCTTGGGCCCCGGTCATTCCACGGATTGACGCTTTGATGTCCTGGTGGGCCTTTCACTGGAGGCTGAAATCACTTTCGGCAGTACGGTACCGGCAGTGCCTTCTGAGGTCAGCGGACTCAGTGGATCTTTAATTAGATTGAATTCCTTGCTAGTATATAATTACAAGTGCCTCGCTAGTAGTAGCAAGTGCCTTACTAGTGGCACTTGTAATTACTAGTTGAAGGATCTTCAACCCGATGTTTCGAGGTCACCTCATCGGCCGAACACCGAAAATCCGGAACGCCTGACGTCTCAAAAAGGACGTGACTGGTGAACTGCGAACTGAGTTTGTGGGGGAAAAATAAGACCGGGTCCTAGGTCCGTTGCTTTCTTTTGGCATCAACTCTTCCTAAATCAATTTTGGTGGCGGGGTGGGAGGTTTGCACAAATGACGGCCTACTCTCCAACATACGTAGCGTTCGCACCCTCACCACCGCGAGGTTTGCTTCTTGGTGCATCGAACCGCCAGGTTCGATCAGAAGCGTCCGCCTCCTTTGGGCGTTGTGAAGCATCCCAAGGGTGAACGCACCCGGCAGGCGCGTCGAATCCAATCCGCATCATGAAAGGACTGTAGCCCTGTTAGTGCGGTAGTGCGCACAGGGAAATCTAAGATCGGTGAATCAACCTCGCGCCAACGCTACTAGCTGTTACCAGCTGGCCCGGTTGCCCTTCAAGAAAATGGAATGATTCATGATACAACCCCACTTTTTTGTTTTTTTGGTTGGGAGGTCGGTCGGTTTTTCATGTGATTTTTCTGCAAAGGCTGAAGAAAGCGTTGCTGTCTAGCCATTCTCTCTAACTCCTGGTGCGATTCTGTACCCCAGGGCTACCACGTGGAGGTGACCGGGAATGAGGTGAGGTCCGGAACAGACCACCTGATGCGCACGGCGAGGAGCTCCCATGCAGGGATCACTTCGGTTTTTGTTAGGCCTCCCAACAACGTACCAAGTGGTCTCACCATGGATGGTGTTACTGTAAGTGGCCTCAACTTTGTGAGAACAAGTGGCCTCATCTCAAATGTTCAAGAAGTCATGACAGCAAGGAGATTTGCACGGTTATGGTTCTCATTGTTTCAAATGTTCAAAACATGAGGTGCTTCTTTCACCCCAGACCTGCAGGTCCGCCTTCAGGTGGTTTGGGTCTCCTGAGATGGACTATAGTGGGATGGATGGACACAAAATGCTTGGGTAGTACAGTATCATGAGTATCAACCTATAGATATACCTGGATTGTTTTAATTTTTTTAAGACTGTGTTTCAATGTCCTAACACCACATTGGGCTCAACGGTTCTTTTTGTGCGATTGAGCACACTACGTACTACCACGTTTTCTTGAAACAAGGGCCGCGAGACCAACCAGTCATCACTCACGTCAGTCATTCTGTGGACCCAGGACTCGTGTGACCCAGGTGGATGGTTTTCATGGTGACAAGACAGCTGCAAGGCAGCTGCAAATAGCTATTGCATAGCTATGAAACAAACAAACACATTGCAGCTGCCTTGACACATTGCAATTTGAAATAGGCTCGCAAAACACATTGCATAGCTCAGTACGCTATGTCTGAAGCAGCTCCAGCCACCTGGTGGCTGACTTCTGTGCCGCCCCAGCCACCGGTACTTGGGACGACCTGCAGTTTCTGTTTCGTTGTTTCCCATGTGTTCCACCACGGAGACTTGATCTTCCTTGTATTTGCCTCATTCAGTCAACGAATGAAAAGCCAAAACCTTCGCCAACGGCGGAATCGCTACTGGGCAGATGTGCTTGGAACTATGCCACCAAGATGGACAAATGGGTTGCACTGGTGAGCTACCCCAGCAGGTCACTAATGTCAGTAGGAACCAGGTGATATGTTCGAACATGTAGAACAGCGGTTGATGCTTCTCGTGTCTGAACTTACTGGATAGCGGGGACCTCCGTACTATCTATCACTGCTTCACTTGTACAATTCCCAGATCCACTGGCTCTTCAACGCCCTCGGAAGTCGCCCGGGTCTGCCACCGTTCTGTTCCTGCAGATCATGTTGTCACTGATCCACCCCAGTAGCATCGTCATCAAGGCGGGACGACGATGGCGAAAGCAGAAGTTCAACCGGGACGACCTGGAATCGAATCATCTATGATTGTAGTATGATTAGTGGAAGTCGTGAAAAGTTTTGACCTATTTTAGGTGTGCTATTTGTTTAGTGATGCTGCAGCAGTATTTGTAAAAAAACAAGTTGATCGCATAATCCAATGATGCCAATCAGAGCAATCGGGCAACGGAGGGGTTGTAAACAAGATGATTCATTGTTTACATTTCCGGATACTATTTACGTAAGCTGCCTTTGGGGTTGATTTCCTTCCACATATGTTTATCTATAATGGTTCCACTCTGTATAGACGACATGTGTAGACTCCTCTTTGCAAAGGGAAAACGCCTGCCCAAGTAAGGGCAAGTAGCCCCACGCATCAACTGCTCAGGACCCGTTCTCGGGTCCTTTGCAAGTCACCGCTTGGTCTGGCAAGTCTCCCTTCTCGGGCGGGCCGTCCGAAAAGTCCGGATTCAACAGGTCACGCGATGTTCGTGGTGCGCGATGCGCGGAGCTCTGCGTCCTTCCCACGGAGCCGGTGAAAACGGCAGCGGAGCCCATTTTTGGGGGTCCCACCACAAAACCCATTCCCACCCAGTGTAGGCCATTCCTCACCTATTCTCACCTACCCCCCAAACCGGGTCTCCTACCTCGGCCCCCGTTCTTCTCCACTTCCTCCACGGGTCTCCTACCTCGGCTTCGAGCCGGGTCTCCGGGCCAACGTCCGACTGGCGGGTTCTCCGTCTGGAGGCCACTTTGTCCTGCTTCTTGAAGTCTCAAGCGAAATGGGAGGCAGGTGGGTCCGTACACCTCGGTCACCGAAACCACCGTGCAGGGCGGCGGTCGCGTAGAAGGACCGGTTGGAAGGAGTCGCTCGTTCATGTGAGTCAGTAAGACTTACTACTGAGTATAGTGGTGTTTTGTTATTTTTTCCAATTTCTTGGTGAGGGCAGAGGTTCATACCATGCTGTTTTGGCTTGTGTTGGAGCATTGTTGACGGTCTACATCACAAATCTCCAGGTGTTTTTTTGTCGTGGCACACGGATTCTGTTTCTCAGCTACAGAAGCGCGTGTTTGCTGAATGTAGGTCCAATGTCGGCGGTTTTCCTGTTTGCGTTTCGACTAGATTGAGATATTTGAGGACGATGTGACCTGGACCTTGAGTCAGTGACGAGAACGGAGTGCTTTCAGTGGCTGGTTCGGTCACAAAACAGTCGACTGAGCTCTCCTCTGAGAGAGCCCAAAGAGGTCACGAACTAGATCAGGTCCTGGCTCATGTGCAGTCTCAGTCTGTTTGTTTTGGTTCCTGAGTCCGGACTCAGTGAAATGAGCAGGGGACTGCTATGATCCCGTTATTTTAAATAGATGGGGATGGGAAGAGACATGAGGAGACGATTGTGGGTGCAGTGTTTGTGGCATGGTCTTTTGACATAAGCTGATCATTATCATGAGCTCTTCTTCCACCAAACCGTAAGGCCTGTGCTTTCCTTTGATCATTTCCACACATGTCCGCTTCTTTTCGCGTGGGATCATTTTGCACCAGGGCATCAGCCACGGAGTGTGGCCCATGTACTTCGATGAGCCGCTTGGCGCAGTGGGCAGCCGTGTCACCTGTACGTCCCGCTGTCTTTTATACTAGCTTTAACCGCGCGCTTATTTAACGACATGGAAGAAGAATGAAGAAGAGTTATACTGTATATAGTCTAGAAGTTCTGAAGCTATTGTTTCAGAACGAGAAGACTTGTTTATTCTTTTGCCCCCTGACGCTGCCGTCCAAAGCCTCTCCAAAGGCCGTCGATGGAGCATTCCAGGCCTGGAAAAGGGGGCATGGAAGTTGCGTTAGAGGACATCCGACCCGGTCCTATCCACCCAATATCCTTTGAACCGTTTTTCGGGGTTGGTGTCTCCACTCAAACCTAAGAGGTGGGAAAAGGTTAGCCTTTATGAAACTGAGGAGGTCAAAAAAAGGAGAAGGTTTGCTCAGTGTGAGGCATACCCAAATGCACCATGCATGGATGCATGGCCAGGTCCATGCGGATCTCTTTAACCTTTGACTTTCAAAGAGTGGTGACTGACCTCAAGCGACCAAGACATATGGTTGTGATCTGTGACCCAGCCCAGCGGCTGTGACCCAGCCCAGCGGCTGCACATGAGGAAAAGACTTGCTGCGCATAAAGAAACCTGGATTTCCGGCCAAGATTTGGCTCTCAGTTGCCAGTAGTTAGGACATCAAAATGAAATGACCCATTTTAGATCACAGAGCCAAACCCCTTACCGTAGCAACAGTTTCTTTGCAAGCCTCCGCCGGAATTACACACTCCGGGGTGGTTCCACTAGCAGAGCTTCAGCACAGCATCTCTCCTGGTGTGTCACCAGGGCGACGCCACTCCGGGTCTTGCTTCATCGACACAGCCATGTAACAGATTCTTTCACATGCAGGGCTGGTGGGTCCCATTTGGGCTGTTCTCGACACCGGTGAGCACGTCAACGACTAGGGTCTCCCATTTACGCTAGCCACATCTAGCCACTACTCAGAACCTTCTTGCTACACAAAGGCATCTCAGAGCCATAATTATAGTTCAAGTATGTTCAAGTCATCTCAGAGTCGAAATAAATCGAAATAATATAGTTCAAGTCTTTGGTTTGACATAGCGACCCTCTGAAACCATTTGATATCCGGAAGTCATCTCGACCAGCTCCATGGCGTTGGCTTGCAACGCTCGACAGCTCTCGTTCCGAACGGACGCCGCCTCAACGACAGGACCGCCTCAACGCTTGTGCTGTTGTTTGTGTCGTTTGTTTGTTATGGCAAAGCAACCAATAAAATGATCCTTGTAGGAGGTCAAAGCAACCTAGGGTTTTTCAGGACTCTCAAATTGATTCATGATTGTTTTTTAGAGCCAAAGCACGTACTTCCTCAGCAAATTCCTGGGCCAGAAAGGAAAAGAATTGGCTGCATCCGTGCATCCCACTAAACCAAAGCTGTAACCAGCGACAGTTCGGGGAAAGCCCACCAAAGCATTTGAGTCGCCTTTGCAGTTGAATCTGGACACTACCACGGGTCCATCCCGCTGATCCTCGCTCAACCTGTACAGATCCGCGGATACAGATCCGTGAACCCCCAACAGGCCCAACAGGAGCAATCACACCAACTGCTACATGAATTTGGATCACCTGAATTACCAAACACTTGGATTGCTGTAATCACATGGACAGGATCGAAGAATCACACACGCCCCCCCCATACGACGCATGCCATGTCAAGGGTCAACCGCTTGGCCATGGACCTTCAGGATCCTGGTTCAGTTGCTTCGATCTCCATGCAGAGGCGCCCAAGCAGGCACCTGCTTGACGGATGGAGACAGATCGAAGTGAGTTGGGTGCCGAAGCTTTAAGCTTTTTCGCGGCTCCTAGGGGTCCTAGGGGGGGATGTGGATCCATGTGGAACCAGGTTGGTTCAAGCAACTAGAGAGTCAAGTTGTGTGAATGCGGCCCACGTGCCTCCATGGAGTTTGTTGACCGTGTGAATGCCTGGTGGCGTTCTCATCCTGGTCAAGGAAGAACGCAAGCTGTTTGAGTAAAACAAACAAGGAGCAGGAGTGTTTCAGTTGAGCGACTCGAAACAAGACGTGCCCAGGAGTGCACCAGATGGCAAAAACGATGCAATAATTTATGTGTCCTGTTTTCAACAGGCAGACGGAGGGGCCACTACGCCACACCTGAGCTAGGGTGTGAACGACAACAACAACAACAACCACAACCACAACAACAACCACAACAACCACAACCACTGACCACAATTTGCAATATATAATATATAATATATTGGCCAATTTGCCCAGTTGCCCACGCAAACTGTGATAAAAGTGATACACCCAGAGGCTCATGGACTCTCATATGGAGGGACGGACCTTCACATTAGGGAGGGGTTTCGGGTGTCAAATCACTGTGGACCAAGGGCTGTTGGGAGCGTTTGGGCAGTATGTTTGTAACATTTTCTAAATAGGTTCATATATGTTTGTTTGCTTTGCTTTGGGGATGAAGCCGTGACTGCTGCTGCTACTTGCAGCGACAACATGATCCGGTGTTTCTAGAATTGTCGAGAGTGAAGATTGAGTTCCAGTTCCCACACACTCCATGTATGCCATATGCCTTCATTGACCCCCCAAAACCACCCCAACTGATCGGCATATATGGCAGCCTTGCTCGTGGCATCATGAAAATAACAAAAGAAGAGACACCTGCATCACTCGAGATGGGGCATGCTACTCTTCGAACGTTTGTATAATTATCATCAATATATTATAATTGCCAGGAGTTCTAAATCCAAAGGGTTGCTACTAGACCCTCAGCGAGGATCATGGGCACCCGAAACCTCCATGCAAAAACACCCGAATGGACAGATTTGCTGGTATAAGTGTTTAATTATCAGCATCTTGGGGAATTTACCAGCACGAAGATCATGTTTTATGTTTAAATCCCGTTGTACAACATGAATCATGTTGTTGAAGATGTCTTGTTGAATCATGTTTTATCTCGTTCTACTGCATCATGTTGAATCATGTTTGGAGCTTTCTCGACCAAGATCGACCGCAGATCAACCTCTCGGTTTGCAGGTGTCACGAAGGCCCGTGGCCAACGAGGCAGACCAGTGCCTGGAACAGCAGAAGGTGGAGACCTGGAAGGATCGAAAGAGCATCCAAGGTATGGATTCATGGATATTCCATGATATTCCTGTTTGGGTTCCAACTACCGAAGATGGTTTGGGGAGATGGGCCAGGACCGCTAAATCTCTATATGAGATGGGGGGGAAACGTTTGTAGGTCTTAGGTTAACTGAGGATGGTTCCTATCACGTTCATCATTTTCCTGGACCGACATGGGATGTGAACACTTTCACTCGATGTGCTCTCAGGAATTCAGAGCATATTCAAGTTCATAGCTTTTCCTGCAGATCATTTGATTCAGTACTTGGGGAACTCCATATATGATCCCAGCACCACCCTAGGCGGTCTCCAACCCTTGGGCAGCTGCGATGTACCTTTGAACCAAAAGAAACTCGTGTTGTCTCCCAACACCTCCGCCCATCACCCCACCATACTTCCTCGACTTGTGACCGAGGTGGGTCTCCGACTTCGTGGAAGCCGTGCCACAGTTGCGGGTCTTCCCCACGGAGGAGACGATCGGATCGGAGTGGTTGGGGGCGGAGACGGTCGTTGGTCGTGCCCGACGTTCCTGATGGGAAGCCCACCTAGTACTTCTGAAGTGCAAACATCACATATGAATATTTTACCTGGGCTTACAGGATGTGTCTAGCATTTCTTGTTAAAGCGGGTCATGTTGTGGAAATGAGAGAATCCTAAGCCACCGTACAAAAAGAAGCAACCACTGGATGGTGTTCATGCTCATCTCCTTGGTGATCGTCGCGTTTGCACAACTCAACAGCACACGTTGATCCCTTTCATCCTGGCCGTGCGAAGTCAGGACGAGCTGCAAAGCTTCTGGCAGAGGCCAAAGCCGATCGGGATGGGAATTGGTACTGTACAAGGTGTTTGCACTATCAGTGGATTGAGAGGACCAATGGCACAGACCCCAAGGTCGGTGGTTTATACGGACCCCATTTGTCGTCCGGACATCATGGGGGAAACATGCCATTTCTCAGCCTCTTAAACCGCGGAAAACCCTTCGAGGTGGTCTTTGGAGGTGTTTAGTTCCATAGCTTTGGAGCTTTGACCCACGGAAATTGGCCAAACCAACGAGCATCGCCAGGCTTGCCTAATTTTCGGCGTGGGTGACCAGATAGCTTGAGGCAAGCACATGTTCTTCCAACATCATAGAAACACAGAATTTCCAGGGATCTATCTTGAGTGCCTATGTAAGTCTTTTGGGCGTAAGAAATGCACAGTTCGAGGGTGATACCACCCGGGGAAAATAGACAATGTATAACAATGTTGTTCGCGAAATTTGTATCTTTAACTTGTTTTGCACATCATTTCTGTGGTTGATGAAAGGACATTAGGAGAACATTAACTAATGTTGTTCTGTTGTGTGGGATTTCAGAATGTTTGTGCTTGGAAGGTCTTGACTCTCAGGCTTGTCACCCAGGTCTTTTGTAGATCGCTTAAGAGAAGATAACCCAAATTGCATTGGTGACTCCAAACCGGAGGCAGGCTCATTCTCAGCATGGACCAGTTCTTTGTCCCTGTGATCCAAAACAAGCAATGCCTGTTCACCTCGTTGCTGAATAGAGCTTGGTCACTGCTGTGCATCGAGGCTATCACATGCCCATCCAACCCACCCAACCCAAAGTGGGTTCCCGCTTGTTTGTCCAGGTGTGCCTTGCTGGAGAAGGCGGAGTTGGGACCGTAGAACCCGCGCGGGGCGGAAGCTGGGGGTAGGTGGCACTGAAGCGACGGAGGTGGCACTCTCGGATGGACGTTTGCAGACCACGCCGGATAGAAAACGGACTGTTTTTGACACATTGACCCTGAAAGGGAGTGTTTGGGTTTGGGTACTAACTAGAACCAGACCCCAAGTGTATTGCGAATGGAGTCACCAGTTACCGGTGTTTGGTTGTTTGGTTCTTTTAGACTTGCCTCGACTCAGTGGACGATCGGGACGTTGCAACATGTTCATTTAGCTTAGCGTACTTTATCATAGTTTCAACACGAAGGAGAGATGCTACATGCTCTTACGATTCGCTGGGGAGTACTTGTATATTTTACACATCCAGGGCTTGTCAAAAGAATAACACAAGCAATGATAAACAGGTTTGGAGGGTGGGGTCATTGGCTTCCTGTCTTGAGATTAATTAATATTGCTGAGCACTTTGCACGGAAAGAGCTGTGGACTTCGACAACTTGACACTACTGCATGCAGGCAGTGTTGGTGTTTATGATATTTGAGGAGTTACATTCCATCAGTCAAACAGAACTGGATTTCTTCCAACAAAGCCACCTAAGACGAACTTCACCATCTCCACGGTCTTCAGAGCCCGGCTCTGTGTCGGCTCGCTTCTCCGATTTGGACCGAATTCATGCGGTGAAACGCCAGGCACGTGTGGTGCTGGCCTTGAAGGAGCGTTTGGAGAGCAGTCCCAGAGATTCCTGGCAAGTGCAGGCGGCACCCGAAGATTCCCATCATTGCATTCGGTTCGCATTGGCAGCCTGGGGGTGTATGTCAAACGGACGAGCTTTGAGTCGATAGCCTCAGGTCGACCGTCACGTCTTCTCTGAACAAGGCACATGTTTTCTTTGCCAGGATAGGCGTTTCAGAGTCATCCTGGCGTTTCTCGTGTCATACGTCCTTGGCTGTGTCACCAGAGCCTGCTAGACGTGCTCACCCTGGTTCATTGGAGCTCCGACGTCGCGCCGTTTGTCGTGGCTGCACACCTGGTTGAACCGGTGCCTCGCGCCATAGGGAACATATCGGTCGGACTAGACCTGCACCCACCAAACTGTCGCAACACCCACAAGGCTAGTAATTTAGAGTCCCTGCACCCACCCAGAAATGAAAGCACGATAGTATGTAACTATCCTACAACAAACGCAGCTACATTGACTAAGGTCAGACAAACCCATTTCAGTCAGGCACATCAGCTTCAATGTCGTCTCCGCTTCCGCGGTCCCCGCTTTTTCACATCCCTCCTGCCCGACTACATGGGACGCAAACGCTTCGCCGCTTCGTTCTTGGTCCAGGCTCGAATGCTTCGTGTCATTCTGTCAGCCTTCCAGCAACCGTTCCTGGGAAGGCACGGTGGTTTTCTCCTTGGTGTTTTGAGAGTGAAGAGAAAAGCCGGAACAAGTCCTACACTACTTGACATGTCAAATGGCACACTCTAGATTATGTGCAGTTTGTTTTGCTTTGTTTGTTGTTCCAGGGCTCCAGATAGTGGTCTTATGTTTTCCATCAAAAGCAGCACAATGGATGGCTGCTTGTATTTCAGGGGCACATTTCATTATAGTCTACTCATTTGTACTCATTTGTGTTGATTTTGCTCAGAGAAGCTTGACTTCGAGCGATACAAGGGTGATTTGACTTCGAGTATAGATGCAACGAAAGAAGCGAGCAATACTTCCGAGGTCGATTGTGGTCCCAAAGTATATAGACGAGGTCATGAACTCCCTTCAAGCCTTCAAGCATTGTTTGGACATTGTCAAACAAACAGTTTGTGTTTATTTGTAGAACCTATGCCAAAGCAAAACGCTGTTTGGTTGGACTCCACTGATGCTAGACAAACGTATATAGCATTGGAGATCTATCAGGGGTCCTTGTGAACCAACGCAGCGAAGAGCTCCCAAACTGGACCCTTTAAGTATTTCATGTGTCTCAGAAGCCTCTATTGGGCCTCTCCTTCTCCTTATAAGCGCATTGACCTGAATCAGAAAGAGGAGCAGTGACCCACCTGGAGCCCAACCATGTACCTTCTAGGTAGGTCGTGCCCGGGCGGTATCCTGGTGCCATGACCCACAGCCATATCTCGAATTCAGACGTCATCAGACTTCGCCCTGCCATTTCCGGCTTTCATCGGATGGCCGGTGAAGATGAATTACCATGGGGATGGTGTTTGACATTCTGTAACGTCGTTTGGAGGGTCAGAACATGTTATTTCCATTTCTTTCCATGTTTCTAGTTTTATTGTAGATAGTTTTGTTTATTAAGTCAACCTTCAGAAGTCACTACTTCTATCCCAGTGCGAAGCCACCTCTCGAAGAACCACCCAACTCCCTTCGTTTCTCCAGAATCCTTTCCGCCAGAATCTCCTCCGCCGCGCTCACTGGGCGCGCTCAAGAGCTGCTGAAGCAATTCCGGAGCTCCGAGGTCGGGGGGCGGTTTCCACCTGAGAGGTTTGGAGGTTTCATTCGGATGAAAAAGCCATTTGAGCCGTTAGGAGGGAACACACTCCCGTTCTTCTGAGGGAGAACGGTATACCGTTTTGATGGGCTGCTGAAATAGAGGTTTCACTTTGCTCCTTTGGAAGCCAGTGGTATTAATTATATTGGAGATAATTGGATACATAATCGTTTGCCAGGAGGTAAGCCCCATGGCCACGCAATGACAGCAATCCGCCTCCCCATACTGGTGCAGAACCCGGCTGCAACATGTTTTGACGCTTGTGTTTCGTGTGCAGGTACTGGAACTGCGTGAGGAAGCAGCCGCGTGGTGGAGAAGGGTTTCAAAGTTTCATGCTCAAAGGATCTGGTTTGGGGGGTCAATGTAGGCATGTATGGCAGTCTCATTATATAGTCGTGTCTGGGGCATAGTGGCCTACATCGATGGTTTCGCGGTTTCCTACATTGATGATGTTTGGGTCGAGGTTCACCAGTTCGATCTATGACTGATTTGGAAGAATCTGGCACTCTGAAGAGGCTTGTTTAATGTCTCTACTGCAGTGGAATTGGTCAATGGATAGATGGACCGTGATTAGGTTCACCAAAATTGTGCAGTGCACTATGACCGTGCGAGACGTTTGGGGCGGACCGTCACATTCTCTGGGCCTTCCGGAGGCCCCGATTCCATCGATGGTGAGACGTTGCCGGTCCTTCTTACATCTTCCTACCCTCAGAATCCATGGAAGAATACATGGGACTGGAATATATACCATGGAAGATTTGCTCAGTATCAGTATCAGGTGTGATCTCTTCGGATGTCAAGGTCAAGGTTGCACGGCTATGCCTACTGGATGATCATTTGGATGTCCACTCAGGCACGTCTATGGCAGCTGTTGGAACTCTCATGGTCGATGCCCAATGAGAACCCTTGGCGCCTGGCTCTGCAAGGCGGTCTCCGCGGATGACCTGGGCGGATGGGTTGTGGGCTGAAGACGGCGGTGCACCTGGTCGGGCCCAAAGGTGAAGTGGGTTGGTGCTGTCCAAAACTGAAAGTGAGAAGTACACTCCCGAGTCAACTAACATAGACCCTGACGTCCTGGTCCCATGGAAGACCATTTTCCTCTACCAACCAGGGGTTTTCAGGTTCCATGTTTGTCTTCCAGGATGTAGTCAGCGGCCGTGGTAGTGGGATCTCAAATATGTTTATTTTTTTGTGTTTTGTTTGACAAACAACCAATAGCAGACTCACCAAGATCGAGCATGTAGTGGAGATCGAACACGCGATATGAAATTGATATCTTCATTAGCACACGACACAGCTCAATGATATCCACATGTCATCGAACCACGCCCAACCGATCAGACATACATTGGCCATAAACACAAAGTACACCCTAGGGAAATTAACATGGCCACTGGGTTGGTATTTGGAAAAATGGTCAAAACAACGGGTGAATTCTCAGGTTCCATGTGAGTTTGCAGGGGTTGGGTATGTGTTTCCTGTTGCAACGAGAATGGAGTGGAGACAGTGGACACCGGATCGAACTCCTGTGTGTCTGGACCAGGCGGCTTGCTAGCCTTCACGGAGAACGCGAAAGCCGCTCCTCCGGAAGCCAGACGGACAGAAGTGAAAGATGTGAAAGCGACGCGACTTGGGCGAAGGAAGTGAGGAGGAAGTGGATTGGTGGGTTGGAATTGCTGGTTAGTTGATGACAGTCTTTTTTCAAACTCTATTTGTTGTTTTCTTGTATTATTGGTTTGGGCGGGGCTAATTTCGATGGCACCATGGTTTTCAAGGTTATAAAGTGGATTGCATGTTCGTATACACTTTGAAGGGCACAAAGAGGGCTGTCAACAAGAGGCTGGTGTTCCATGTGTTTCTTTGTTCTGGAGAAGAACATAATACAATTAATTATATGAGTGTCATAGCCACCAGCAGACTTTATCGCTCACCCCATTCAAAACCCATTTCGGATGTCCAAAAGCTTCAAGAACCCGGTCGGAAATTGGTCCAACGGACTCTTCGCTTCGCAAGCACGTCCATGCACCAGCTGGCCCTCGGGCGGCCCAAACGGACCGGATCGCTCGAGGAGTCTGACCAGCGGAGCCGAGCGTGGAGCGGAGGATCTCTTGGACCTGAGGCGTCGAGGATCTCTTGGACCAAAAGGGGGATGCTGAAGTGGAGACCTACTGATCTACAGATCTGAAGAATGGGTATTGTAGATGCTGAAGTTTTTTTGGAGATCTACATCGCCCAAGGGGATGCTGATGAGTTGACTTCCAGAGTCGACTGAAGGTTGATCCTGACGCACAAGGTTGGTCGCTAGAACCAACACCACGACAACTGTTTGATCTGTTCACTGGCCCGCCAAGCCTATATAATTATATATAATGTACCCAGTGCATCCCAGTTACCACGACTATATATATATATATATTATAAGGAACCAGGTATTCTAGGTCTATGGTGTTAGTCTTTGGAACCACTGGTTGCCAGCTATAGTGCTAACTGAATGCCCTGAGACTTCATGACAAGTTCCTTATGAACAATTACTATATGGACACCCCCAAATCAGAGTCCTCTTACACACTCAGAGTCATATAATGCATCGTTGTTTTTTTTTCTGTTTAGGAACATAACCAGAGTCATGGGAGATGAACAAGACTCTGTTCCAAGCTTGGCAGATCGGCGCCGCAGCTTCCAGCGTCGCCCAAGGAGGCGGGATGGGGAAGATCGGAGGCTTGAAACTGAAGAGACAAGCGAAAAAGAGCAGAAACCACTGATCAACTGATCTCAATGATCACTAATTGACGCACCTTCTCAGAACACATGACATGTGGATCGATAGGGGTAACATTCATGGGATTTCAGGAAGCCTTCCGTGACAGCTGAATCAGCTGACCGTGAATGGGTGGCAGGAAGGTGGTACTCAACAAACGGGCTGAATTCCAGATTTTTGGTACTCCCCGTTAAGATTGGCATTGAGCCCCAAAACCAATGCATTGTAGAGGAAAATGGTCTTCCACGGTCTATTCTCAGGTTCCATGTTAGTTTGGTATGCTATCAGCCTGTGGCAGTTGCCTTGTGTGAATCCTGAGGACACTTTATTAGACATGTGACAGTTTTTTCTTGGGTTAAGACTTTATGTACCTCTCAGGTTAGTAATTTCTGTATAGTAAACCTATCTCCTAAATCCTAACTATTAGGTAAACCAAAAATAGGCTATAGTTAGTAGTTTTAATTTGTTGTTATTTGATATATCATATGTTCAAGTTTGTTTTAGGTACATAGCCCAGGCTGCCAGGACACATGTCAACTAATGTAAAGGATTATTGCGATACATAGCATTGTGTTCACATTGCTAATTTTGTCGTTTTGTTTGATGATTCTATTGGAGGATGGTTCTGGCGGTTCTGGTTCTGCAAAGGGTACATCATTTTGTGTTATTCAATCTTTTTATTGTGCGTTTTGTGCACATCGCACGAGGCTCGGCCTCGGCTTCGTCGTTCAACTACATCCGTCCCGCCTCGGAGCCTGACGCTTTGATAGCTGTTTTGGATTCATCGTCCCATCTGCCTCCAGGACCTTTCACCGCCCAAAGCACCGCCCAGAACGGCAGCGCCGATCGGCGAGCCCTTCCTCGCGCCGGTGCCTGTGGCCCGCAGCACGTGTGCGGAAGGCGGGAAAGGGACTGAAAGGGACATAGCTATAGTGGCTGGAGGTGTTTATAGCTTGATGAACCGCTTTCCAGAAGCCTCTGGATTGGCTCCCTGGGTCCCTGGGGTAGAAACTGGAGACTGCCCAATGAGTTTGGAGTTGACCGATGGTCAGAAAGGAGTCCGGATTGGCTGAAGGGATGACCCCCCATTCACCTCTATGGCAATGGCCAAGAACCCGAGGTGAGGATGTTGAACAAGGGCTTGACCAAAGAAGATGACTACGATTGAATCAATAAATCGGAGAGAGTATCGGTGAAGAAGTCAAGTAAACTCGACCAAACATACACCGAACATTCTGCAGACTCAGTTTTTCTCAGCAGACTGGGCCTCCAGGTGATCTGGCTGCGCTTGAGCTGCAGTGAGGGGTTGGCGTGCATGAGAAGAAGATCACGCACTAAAATGGGCGAACTGAGTCAAGACACCTGGTTCGGTCATCAGCGACCTATAGTAGTATAGATATTATAGTTGAAATATGAGGGTTGTTATGGCCTGCCAGGGTTCAGAAATCCCGAAGGGGGCCAGAGGGCTTGTGAATTGTGCACTGCCTTAACCAGGATTATAATAATAGTGGACTTTGCCACTTGTAATACTCTGCAGGAAGTTACCTGACTGACCCCCAAGGTAACCTTGGTCTTCCAGATAAGCAATTGGAACAGAAAATTTCTGCAGCAGGACATTGGGCTCGTACAATGCAGTTCAATCCGGGGCATCCCGTGATCCCATGGTAGACATTTCATGAAACGTCCAATCCCAAACACTCGTTGTCATGCAATTATTTGTTGAAACAACCGTCTATAGTGCCGGCCAAAACGCTTTGGAGCGAGATTGCGCGACGTTTCACCATGCCGAGGATCTCATTTGGCAAAAGTCGCCCGAGCGATTCCAGCTCAGCCTGGACGAGGAGGATTGTGGCAACCAGGACAGGCACAACGACCCGGACCTACGGGAGATTTGAACGTTTTTCCTCAACTAGAACTGTGAGTCAGTGGTGAACTCAATTCGACCAGCATTAATGTTAGATCCGTATTTATAAGGGGGCTCCCCCTCGCCATGTTTGTTTGTTTTTTGTGGGCGCGTAATTATAAGACTAGTAGTGCTGGTAGTGGTGGTGGTAGTAGTAGTAGTACTACTACTACTACTTCTACTAGTACTAGTGTACTAGTAGTACTAGTGTACTAGTAGTACTAGTGTACTAGTAGTACTAGTAGTACTAGTGTACTAGTAACTAGTAGTAGTAGTAGTAGAAGAATTTGCTGCCATGTTGTCTGTGCAAGAATCTGTGTGCATTTTTGTTTGGCGAATGAATTCTATAATTATGGATCGGGCTAGTGGATCTGGGCTAAATATGGATCCTTTTTGGTCGAAGACTAAATCAAATTTGTGTACTATAATTATGGATGATCCCGGTATTATGAATAAATGTGTATTTTTGTAGCGTTCCGTTGATGTGAGTGAATCCTCCTGCTTAAGGACATAACAAAATATCATATATATATATATATATTGTAATCGTCTATTTGGGACCCGGTCTTCACCTGTTTGGTTGTAGGGAAGGCATGTCAAGACTTCCTGTCATGAAAGCCACCGATACCCTCCATATTTTGCAAACAGCATCGGAATCGGAAGTGTGTATATTCTTGTACATGCAGAACAACGTATCCTTGGTATGTAGTACATCTTGACCTACCTGGAGTGTCGAGACATGTGATGTCTTACCCGCCTGAAATCTCAGGACTTGGAGCGCATGTACAGTTTTGCGCGCCCGGCTCCGAAGCACATCCCCTATTTTCCTCCCAGCACGCAGGCGCCGCGTGGCTGGCGCCGGTTCGAGGAATTCCTCCTTTAAAGCTATGACTATCGCTTGTTATATCCCTATAGGGCTCCAAGTACCTCCGTTTTGCTTCGGTGGTTGGGGTGGTCTAGCTACCTTCTGAGGATGTGGTTGAAGCCATAAGGTATAGTACTGCAGCATACTGCAACCATGTCTCAAATTATGTGTTCGTTGAATTGAAGGTCATGTCCTAGTCGTGTCATAGTTACTGAAGGTTCTTTTGGGACTTGGTTGCTTCAGGTGTTTCTTCTGAATAGAACCTGGCTGGAATTTGCCGAGCTGAATCTTCATGCCCTCTTGCCGACAACGGATCAAGCTTGTTCTTGCCGACATTTCTACCATCCACTTTCGGTTCCTGGCCTGACATTCACCGATCTGAACCTAAACGTGTCCAACACCATGTGGCACACGCCTTCCAAAACCGAGCACCGCGCGCTCGTCCGCTGCACTCCGAACGGGTTGCGAGGTGAAGATGCTCACGGAGCAGGACCCTTTCGACTTTGTCTCTGAGCAGGTGAAGCAGATGCGTCACTTGTGAGAGTTCTGCAGATGCCGTCACGTTTTTTCATATCTTTTGCGCAGGGAAAAAAGGACGAAGTGTGTCCTTAGAGCAGAGAGGTTGGCTGCCAGAAGAGGTGACCATGGTGTGCTCCTGTTCTTTCAGTTTTTGTTGACTTAGCCGAAGCTCTCAGATAGAGGCAAGCAGGCGGATACTATCTCCTGGAATTTTTCCTGATGTCCTCTTCTAAGCCAACACCAGAAACTGTTGATTCTCCCCTGCAAACTCGCGGACATATTTGCTGAAATTTATTGAATTGCCCAGTAAGTCCAGGTACCTACTATATATGTAACACAGACCAGGAACCAGGAACCAGTTCAAGCCCATGGATGGATACCTGCAGATGGTGGCAGAACAAGTGGACTTACCTGGTTGGATGAGCTCTCATGCTCCAGGGCATGTGCTCGAGTCGGGCTGGTGGCGGAGCCGAATCAGCATCAGCAGCAGCAGCGGGTGGTGGTTTATACAGTGGTGAAAGGAGGATGGATGGAAACCTTTGGAATCTATGAGCCCTGAGTGTTTAATCCTCCTACGTTTCTTGAGATCGCACATTATCTACTACATTGCATCTAACCAACTTAATATGAGACCTCAGTGTTTAGATCTATGAGACATTATGAGACCATAGTGTCAGTGTTTGATATGAAACAGACCTCTTGAACCCTCCAGCTGGTATTATCCTGGAACGACCTCGTGGTTGCAAACATTTGGATTTCGACCTTGGGTCTCGATTCTTTGGGATGTTCATCGCTGGCAAGGGTGTCTATCACCCCCCCCCCCCGGGGGTCCTTGGGGGATGGGCCAGTTCCTACGAATGTATTCATGGGTGTAGTAGTACCGTAAAGAGGCAAACAAGTTCACGTGAATTTTCCTGGAGAAGGAATCTTTTATAGGGAGTACAGTATATGTTGTTTGTCCAAAAAGATCTTGACCCCAAAAAGCAGAACACAGCTGGAAGCAGGGCGTTCCCCACTTTTTTCTGCCTTCGACTCGCGCGTCCTTCGGCCTCTGCGCCGTTCGTCGCGTGAAAAAGTGCGCGACCTTTGCGACTGGACTGGGGGCCTGGACACTGGATTTGGCGGTGCTAGGTGGAAGCTGCCAGAACGAAAGGGCGAATCCGACCAAAGCACTGGTGATAGGTTACATATTCTCTGCGGTAACCAATCACTTGGTGAAGCATCCTGGTACAGCTACCAAAGATCCTTCGTTGTTATTTGCATTCTGCCCATAGAATCACGACCACTTGGGCTTTTTGAGCCGAGAGTCGACCGAAGGGTATGCCAGATCCGCTTCGGAGTACGGACCCCTCAAAGGTGTGATGTAGACGTGACTGGTCCAGGAAGGACCACGTTTCCCCAGTCCCAACCACTGAATACCACTGACCTGTTGTAAAGGATCTCAATAAGACGCCGCATCCAGGGTTCCAACCCTTTGTTTCTGGTTGTTTTGGTATTAACCGTGTTGTAACATAGAAACTCCGGATAAATTTTTGTGGGTGGATGGAGAGTCGATGGCAGAAATGTCAAGTTTGGATTATATATCTCACCTCCTATATAGTTATATACCAGCACCCTCCAGGTCTCCTCTGGTGGCTGACTGAAAAGTGTCAGGTGATGAACCGTCCCATCGAACCGCCGTCCGCCAGGGATCTGACCGAAGGCCCTGAGGCGCGGACGGAAGCAGGTCACGCAGATGGGTGTGGTGACTGGTGACTGGTGACTGGAGCAGTGGATGCAAGTGATGGCTGAATTATTCCTTTGGGAATCTGGAGGTTGAACATGGTCACATTTGGTTTTGAGAGTTGAGAGCCCAAGATCTGACGTTGAGAGCCCACGATCTGACGCGGATCAAGGGTCGCTTCATTCTTAGGGTCAGCATCTTAGGATGTTTTAAGATGTTTTAAGGTTCTCACTCGGAGACGAGGTCAGGGAGATTGGGGAATCGTTCATTCTATCCCAGACACGACGGTCGTGGGACTGCCATATTAGAAACGGCCAGCGGTGGTTGGGGGGGTCGATGGGGCGGCATATATTCCAGTCGCATGGAGTGTTTGGGTATCCCAAACACTCCATGTATGCCATATATGCCGATCAGTTGGGGATATATATATATATATATGGCATACATGGAGTGTTTGGGTATTGGTGATTCCCTGCAGTCAGAGCATCGTTAGAGAGACCCTGAGCTCGATGTCCTCGCAGCCTGCGAGGCACGTCACAAGCGGCAGTCGCGTGTCGGGCACCTAGTGGCGGGAAAGTCGGATGGCTAACTCAAAAAACTTAGGCCAAAAAGTTCATTCAAGCACTTTAAAAGATTTGGGGTTCACCACCTAGGATGACGTTGCGATTTTTGTTGTTTAGATTTCACCACCTAGGTTGACGTTACTATTTATTTGTTTGGATGTCGTGTACTCAGAAATCACCACGAGAACTGCTACTCATTAGGAGGCCCAGAACTTCTGAAAAATATCACGGATTCTCACGGTGTTTCCCCAACAAACCTCAGCAATAAAAGGCCTAGTTGGTCCGTGCCAACCCCAGATACCCTTACCCAACGTTTTTGCTGACCCTCAAAGATCTTAACGTGCCATACGTATACCTTTTTAAGCCTTACAGTTCATGAAACATAGTTTCTTTTCATGACTGATCCCATATCCCATCGAGATCACACCCAAAACACGTACAGCACGGTGCTCTCCTCGTCCGGTCCATCGCGTGCAGGTGGTCCTCACGGTGATGTTGCCCACCTGCGGGCGCCGATCTCAACAGGAAGGACGGTCGGACCGCACTAGGCGACCCGCCAATTCTTTGGACCGATCGCTTTTTTGTGGATTTTCCTTTTTGGGCAACCCATGTCGCACGTGGAGACCTCAGAGTGGGTTCGCAAATGCTTCACACTCACCAGGCCCACCCTCACTATAGGAATGGTCCATCCAAATACGATCCAATAACCACCACCACACCGCTCACCTTCCGTAGTTGAGGGCAGGTGAAGCAGAGTGGGTCTGAAGATTTGGTGCGTGGGTCGAAACCGGCGGAGAGATGCGCTGTAGCGCTGTTGGGGTCAGCAGGTGAATCAGACGGAGAAGTCTTGGACCTGGGCCCTTGGTTAGAATTCAAGGATTGCCCGCGTCCACTTTCAATACGAAGAGAATACCGACCAAAACCAGTCTTCGCCCCGACGAGTGTCTTGACAAACCCACGCCCGACTCCAGTCCTGCATCCCTCCTTGTGTGTTCAAGTTCCTTCGGGCTCTTCCTTCGGACTGTCAATACCAGCATACACTCTACACCGCGTTGATCCAAGGACAAGATCTGCTTGCCCGTGATGTTCCGTGAAGGCAAAACTTGGTTACCTCTTGTATCCTCTTGTGTTCCTGGGTGCCTGACAAATACAATGATCTCGGTCTATTTTGAGGTCTGTTAGGCTAGCCAACCTATGGTGCCCAATAGAGATCATTGGAAGGTGCGGGTACCTTATGCAGAGCAGATTCGGCCAAGTGCCCTGAGGCAATACGAGCTCCGCTTCCAATGGGGTTTAGTCCCCTTGACCAGCACCGATGCGGGGCTTTGTCGCATGCAAGGTGGCCCAGCGCGAGTGGTGTGTTTCTCCCCCACTCACTATACTACATTGGTTCATTGAATGGTGAAATGGCACACCAGAAGACCCAGAGCCCTCACGCAGAGGGCATTTTCCCATGGAAATTCAGCTGTGGTTTTAGGAACGCAATAGGTACCAAATTGATTCTGCAGAACCGACCCTTTGGGCGAAGGCTTTCCCACAAATTTAAATTGCCCCGGCAAGAGGCCCCAAACAGTGTTGCCCTTGAGGTCTAGGTCTAGAGGTGTAGAAGCAGAAGGTCTAGAGATCTAGACGTATTGGGCTCCAGAGAGATTTAGAGATCTAGAAGTCTATAGATTCTTAGATCCAGAGGCCTAGGGTCTTGAGGTCCAGAGGTCTTGAGATCCAGAGAGGTCTGGAGATCTAGAGGCCTAAAGGCCTTGACATTAAGATTAAGATCATTAAGACAGATCAAGACATTTGACCCAGATCAGGAGCTAGGTCTAGAGGCCTAGAAGCTAGAGGCCTCGAGGTCTAGAGATCGAGAGCTTGAGAGGTCTATACGGCGGAGAGATCAGGTTTGACAGGAGTTACCTTTGGACAGATCTAGATTTTGAGAGTTCTTAGTGGTCTAGAGCCCAAAAGGGGCCTGGGGTCTAGAGAGATCTAGAGGTCACAAAAATCTTAAGGCAGATCTAAAGCACACATATGAGAGCAAATTTGCTGCGCCTGCCACGAAATCTGCACTTCCAAGTTCACAACGTGACAACAAGCTGCACCTACCACGAAATCTGCACTGCCAGGCTCACAAAGTGCTGCGCCTGCCCTTCCAGGTTCACAAAGTGCTGCGCCTGCCGCCTGCCGCCTGCCACAAAATCTAGACATCCAGGCCCAGGCTCACAAAAAGACATAGTCGGACAAAATGAGGGTACATGATGGAAACAATAAATTTACTTTACTTGACTGGGAAACCTCGTGGAGACGATGAAATGTGTTGGGCTCTCCCGTGATCTACGTAATTAGTTCTTGATCACAACAAGGACAGTCTAAGCGTTCGCTCCTGAATGTAGTCATGTACAACAAGCAAGGCACTTTAGTGCAGTTTCCCTTTGCAATTGCTAAGGTGCAGCTATATATACCTTTTGGCTGCAGCACTGCGACCTAAGAAGTTCCTGTTACCATGCATTGATCTCTACTGTAAACATCATGGATTTGCACCAACACTATGAACCCCAACAAGCCATGGAAGTGGCATGTTGACCTCTGACGGTCTTCGGTGTGCTCTGATTTTGTAGCATGTGCAGTGCATCAAGACCTGAATATTTTTGGGTGCACTGTTTTGTTTGTATATGTTCTTATGTTTCTCAATCCAAACGAAAGCATGACACTATAGGCTATACTCAAGTTGAACCCACATGTGCTGTAATGGAACCTTTGTGTTTTCTTGGCCAACCAGCCATTTGCACATTCCAAACTGCACATCCCTTCTGCGCGTCATTGGTGGGACGCGTCACTTTACCGGCTGAGGGTGAACTG